TTGTCAATGAATTTGGTCATGAACTCCATATCATCATAGCAATGGTCAAGTAACCACTGACAGAGGAATCTCACGAATGCCTCAGCACAATTCATATCGTCCTACAGAAGTTTTGCCCCATAAACTTGAAAAAATCATACAGAGAAAATAAAGGCAACAATAAACAGAAGCATAAAGCTTCTCATATTTGCATAGTACAATCTGGGTTCAAATGAAACCATAAGACATATCACAAAGAGTTCACAGTAAGCACACCTGTATATCAGCAAAAGCTAATTCAGGCTCAACCATCCAAAATTCAGCAAGATGTCTCGAAGTGTGGGAATTTTCTGCTCGAAATGTTGGCCCAAAGGTATACACACTACTGAGAGCACACGCATATGTTTCAACCTGCAACTGCCCTGATACAGTCAGAAATGCTTGCCTAGCGAAAAAGTCTTCTGCATAATCAATTTTCCCATCTTTCTTGGGAAGACCACCACCGCATTCAAATCTCTCAGCCAGCTTACGCCTCCCATCTAGCATCGCGAGGTTCTCTTTGGCCTTAGTAAGTTCAGAAACAGCAGCAACAATCTCTTGTTTGCTTGCCTTAGCAGATTTTAGCTGGGCTACTCTTTCTCCTTTCTCCTTGACAACAAGCTCTGCAGCCTCTATGTCATTTTCAGAGGGAGGAGGATTCTCTTTGAGATCCTTCTCTAACTTCTCTGCTTCATTAATTATGGTTGTGACTTGAAACATCTCACCAGCACCCTCACAATCACTTGTTGTAATAATTGGAGTATGGACATAAAGGAAACCATGCTTTTGGAAGAACGTGTGAGTTGCATATGCCAAAGCATTACGGATTCTAGCAACTGCAGAAATCTATATCAACAAAAGAAAAATTTGAACTATGAGTGCATTTAGAGGAAGATAGCAATTTTCAGCAATAAGTAAAAACAGTGGAGCTGAGTTTACGATGGTCTAGTCTATGAAAATATGGTGCTACTTCTAGACCAACTTTGTACATAAACAACAAAATTATTCAAGACAATAAATGGTAAAAACTGAATGTATCATGTACAGCAGAAGTACCCGATGGTAAAGGCAATATAGCCATACATCTAGATATTTGAACTATCTTATATGTTCACCAAGTCCAAGGATCGTGTGGGCACCATACCTATTTATTTTACTTACTAGAACTGTGAGATTGTTAGACAATCTCACAGTTGGTGCATACCTATTTATATGTTCAACCTAGCTTGGTGCAAAATATAACAGCCCATTAAAAGGAAATTTGAAGAAACAAACGTTCACGACAGAAACCAAAATCCAGATCTCTGTTCCTAAGCATATGTAATCATATTTTGGTAAAAATAAAAGATAGGAAAGTCAGGCATTTGCACAACGCTTTTCAATTCTAAGAATCTGCAAAAAAGAATTAACCACATGCAACTAAAAATAAGATTTGTTTTCATCTCACTGTGTGAGTGTGAGCACAGGAAAAAAATAAGTTATATTTAACAGTAATCCTCGCCACATGAAAAAACCTAAATAGTTATACAGTCGAAATGGGAACGAGTATCCAGTTAAGGCAATGGAAAAAACTAAGAGTCAACTTCATTCGTTTCACCCTATTACCGTATCCACGCGTAAATCAAATGCATTATCACACACACACACACACACACACACACAC